ACTTTGCCAGCCAACTGTGATGGTCCTGGCTCTGAAGGGAAAGGAAGGAGGACTTTGGGGATAAAAACAAGGTCCTTTGCCCCTAGCTGACATAGAAATACAGACAGAGCAGCTAACAAATGGCAGGCGCACAGGTGCACAGGGTATCTTCTGGAGTTCAGGGGACACCTCAAGTAGGGTTCCTTGATTTCTCCAGGGAGGAAGACAGCCACTGGGAGATTTTGTTTTCTTCCCTCCCTTTCTCTTCCCTTCCTCCCTCCCTCCTTCCCTTTTTCTTCCTCCTTCCCTCCCTCCTTTCCTTTTTCTTCCTCCTTCCCTCCCTCCTTTCCTTTTTCTTTCTCCCTCCTTTCCTCCCTCCTTCCCTTACTCTTCCTCCCTCCCTTCCTCCTGTTCTTCTCTTTCTGCAGTTTGGCGGTGTGGATGATCACACCCAGGGACTCCAATGCTCTTTAGATGCTCTGCCATCGAGCCATCCTCTACTGAAAGATATTGATGAAGGTGTATCTTATGAAGATCATTCTGGAACAGGGAAGAGAATGGCTTATAAGATGTTAAGAGACAGAAGCAGGAAACCCTTAGGAAGATGACCGCTACAACCATGTCTTGTGCCCCAACAGGTCTCGGCCAGCACAAGGACCATCAGCACACGTAGCCCTAGATCTTGTGTCTCCAGAAGCCAGTTTCTGCCACCTCCAGCTCACTGAGCGCCAGCTAATGGCAGCCAGGTGGGCAAGGGCGGAGTCTCCCGTGCTGCAGCTTGTTCTAAGATGGCTGCCTACGAATCAGCCATCGGGTGAGGATATCTGCCGAGTATGACGTGGCTAGAGAAAAAGATGTGGTTTTACGTTCACAGGACCCTTGCTGTGCAGAGGCCTCTTCAAGGGCTCGGTGTGAAAAAACAGGATTTTAACACCAACCTTTATTGGTTATTGGTGTTCTGCAGCAGGAAGTCAAATCAAATTGGCCTGGGAGGGTTTTAGCACTCGTCTGTCCGTCCGTCCGTCTGTCTGTCTGTCTGTCTGTCTTTCTGTCCCCGTGTTGGGCAGACTTTCCTCATTCTTGACATGCCCTAAACAACACAAAGTAACTTCTTACACTGTACCAGACAATATATGTCATCTCCAGGTGATGTAGGTTACGTAAGATTATAAGTAAAGTCTGTATCATTTTATAAAAAGGACTTGAGCATCTTAGGGTTTTTGGTATCCAAGCAGTGTTCGGAAAACTCCATGGATACCAAGTGTATGCTCTCCTGACATAAAAAGAAAACTGGCAGTTGGTTTCTGGGGGTCCATGAACGTAAGTGAAACTCCACTGCATTTATCCTTACGCTGGGGTTTGTTCTGAAGAGAAATAAGAGGAAAGAAACGAGGAAACGATACCTACGGTGAAGTGCTACATATATTTAGAAAATATGAATCAAAAGTTCATGCTTAAAATGTAAAACTTCAGCGTGGGAAAATTGAACTTAAGAAAGTGACTGAAAAAATGAAAACTCCGCATACATGACCATCATCTGCCCTCTGCTATGGCTCTGGTGGGAATGAAAATTTGGAAGTCATTTCAATTACTTTTTGAATTAGTAAAATCCCATCCTGTGGACCATTGTGTGTTCATGAAGGTTATGTGGAAACACAGGAAAGCTTACAGTGTCCTAGCTTCTGAGAAGAGAGCTAAGGAGAAACTGGAAAGAGGAGACCAAGTTTAACAGTCATATTTGGGCAAGGGGATTATGTGACATTTTTCTTTTCCCTTGAGTATTTTAATTCGTTTCCAAGGTATAAAAGTTTCTACAGATTGGAAAGTGATTGGAACCACCCAATTAAAAATGCAGTTCTTAAAGCCTGAAAGAATGAAGATCTGAAGCTAGCTGTCCGAGCCTCATGAGGGATGCCACAGGGGACATTTCAAGCAGGCGCTGCAGTTTGAAGGGAGAGTTCGTTTAATCTGAGAGTAGTTGGAGTTGAAAAATCGGAAGAATAATAGCAGAGGACGCCAGGCCCTCCCAAACCCAGCTGCCAGCAATTTAACAGGGGGGGGGGGGTGGGTGCTTAAAGAACTAATTTCTGCCCATTCACTGTGGTTGTCCTCAGGAGACTGCCCGAGGGGTCATTGTGATGGTGATGGTTTTGTTTGCCAGTGACTCCCAAGGACCAGGCACTTCATGGCAGCTGTCTGGGTTGGATTGCTGGGCACCAGAGACTCACAGCCTGTGCAGAGTTGACCTGGAGGTGAACAGTTACCCTGCAAACCTCCTCTCCAGGGTTAGCATGCCTCATTAGGTGACAGTTTCTAATCCAAACAACCATTCATCGTTTTTTTTTTCAGGGTTAAAAGGCCAGCAAAGCAATCTTTGCGCACACGCTTTCTGTTTTGACGCTGTACTTGTCTGTGTCTTACAGGTGCAGATGTATTTCACTGAACACTTAGAAACACCTTACAGCTGTGTCCAGAGCTATAAACACAATGCCAAACTCAACACAGCCCTTCCTGTTCATGGAGAAGGGAGGAAACTAGTCATCTGTTTATTGTGGTACTTGACAACCAGTCACAGTAACGAGGCTTAACTTAGAACTCCTGTTACCTCATAAGTAAATTAGAGATGTATGGTTTAAGTAAAAATTCTGTCGTATGTGGTAATCCTACGAGGGTAGCATCACATAAACTTTCCCTCCCTTGCCAAGTAAACCAGGTAAGTGAACCTGTACCTCCAGAAATGTCTTTAAAAGGAAACTGACAGGAAACTAGGATCTGAAATGAGAAAAATGCACTTGTCATCTCTGTGAAAGTATTTGATGTGCAGACATTGGCCGCATCTCATATTTAAAATAGTAGGCAAGTTACAAAACACTTCTTTTTCCATGTGTTCACATTTTAAAGAGCAGAATGATGAGTCTTAAGATAAAAAGATCATGGAGGCCTCCTAAATCTGTTTCCTAATGCATGGCCTTTAAGGGTTCCCTTTGCGGAGTCAGCGTCAATATGAATACCAGACATTTCCGGTGAGTCACATTTAGGCATCTGTACTGTTAGGAAAGGCATCAGATATTTGAGGGATAAAGAATTTGTTTTTATATCTCAAATTGTTTTTCACTAAATTTCTCTAATTCAGAATCTTACATTCAAGAGTAAAGAATGTATCAAACAGAAAAGGCATCCTCTGTGGGCTCTTCATCTGTGAGTCAATCATAAAATTGAGGATACTGAGGAGAAGGGCTTCACAAATTCCCGAGGACCAAACTTGAATCAGTGGTGTAGACACACCCTGCCAGAGCCTGTCCCGGCATAGCTCTCCTGTGGCCAGCAATGCCTGCCTTTGACCCACAATAACTTATAAAATTTAAAGTACTGCCTTCTTATCTTTGTCATTCCCTCACAGTGCAGCCGAGCAAGCAATTACATAGTGTCATTTTGTGTTAGATAGATGGAATCTAGAAATGATTGAAGCGCTAGAAGGATGTTCATGGGTTACACGGAGATGTGGCTCATAGGTATATGTATGTGTATGTATGTGTGTGTGTGTATGCATGTGTGTGTGTATATGTATGAGTGTACATGCATGCATGTATGTATGTGGGTATTCATGTGTATGTGTATATATTTATATATTTTGTGTGCTTGTGTGTGTGTATGTGAGTGTGTGCATGTGTGTGTGTATGTGTATGTGAGTATGTGTATGTATGTAGGTGTGTGTGTATATGAGTGTGTGCATGTGTGTGTGTATGTGAGTGTGTGTATGTATGTAGGTGTGTGTATGTGTGTGAGTGTGTGTGTGAGTGTGTGCATGTGTGAGTGTGTGTATGTGTATGTGAGTATGTGTATGTATGTAGGTGTGTGTGTATATGAGTGTGTATGTGAGTGTGTGCATGTGTGAGTGTGTGTATGTGTATGTGAGTATGTGTATGTATGTAGGTGTGTGTGTATATGAGTGTGTGTGTGAGTGTGTGCATGTGTGTGTGTATGTGAGTGTGTGTATGTAGGTGTGTGTATGTGTGTGAGTGTGTGTGTGAATGTGTGAGTGTGTGTATGTGTATAGGTGTGTGTGTGAATGTGTGTGTGTGTAGGTGTAGGTGTGTGTGAATGTGTGTGTGTGTGTGTTCACTTTGTGCATGTGTCATGTGCCAAGCATGTGCTCTACCACTGAGTTATATCCAAGCCCCTCCTTCTCTTTGTGTGTGTGGTATATGTGGGTGCACATGTGTGTGTAGCTGCACACTGTACATGTGTATATGCGTATGTGGAAGACAAAGGTTGACACTGGGCGCCTTGTTGTATTCTCCACCTTTTCTGAGACAGTGTCTCTTAGTGAATCTGGAGTGGCTGACGGTGGGCCTTGGGCATCTGCTAGTCTCTACCTGCCACCCCAGTGGCAAGGTTACAGACGTATGAAGCTGTGGCTGTCATTTACATGGATGGATGTGGGGAGGCTCTGAACTCAGGTATTCATGCATGAATGATGAGCGCTTTTTTACCTAATGAACTATCTTCTCAACTTCACCTTCCCCTTTAAGATTAGGAAATGGCTTTCTTTAACAAACTCAGACAATATAGGCATTCAGGAACTATAAAGTGAGAGAATAGGCCAGGCGTGGTGCACATTTATAATCTCAGTGCTGCGAAGACAGAGGCAGAAAGACCCCAAATTCAAGACCAGCTTTGGCTACAGAGAGTCTGCCAGCCTTAAGCTACAGCTACACACTGAGACTCTGCCTGAAAGTCTAGGGGCCTAGGGCGTTGCTCTAGATCATTTTCCTAATGTGTGCAAGGGTCTGAGTTCTAATCTCAGCATCATAAAAAACTGAAAGCATGAAACACTACACGCACATTTCCCCTTGATTATCTGTAACCCAACTTCATTTCTTCAATGACATCTTTTAGCATTATATCTTTTTCTCTATCTAGACACATTAATATCTAGTTTAAAAGGTGAGTCAAACCATACTAACGTATAATTGTTGCCACTTGTTTCCTGCCAACATCTTTTATGAAGCAGACATATATTTCCAAGAGATTTACTTCATCTTTATTAATAACACCAAAGTATTCTACCATATTTAGACTTTTAAATTTTATTACCCCCAAAAGTACTGTCAGAGATATTCTGGTCATTTTTTTTTTTGCACACTAATGCTAGTATTTATGCAGGATAAACTTCTAGACACAGGCTATGCATAGACAGTGTTTGTCCATTTGACACACAGACTGAGAGCCAGCGTGTTCAGCCGGGTTTGGTGCAGGGACACTGACCCCTGAGGTGTGGCCCCCAGGTTTTACTTCATGAGCATCAAGGAATCTCCCGGTTAGAATCACATCGCATTCAAGCCAGCAGCAGGTGACCCACTTCCCCTATCTGTGACTTGTGTTATGAAGGCGACAGTGATTGTTTCTGCTGACAGTTAGTACAGTTTCATTGATGCTTCGAACAAGGCAGACAAGTCCTCTTCTGACTGGGCACGGGGTGCAAGCTTGGTGACCCTTTCCTGAGACAGTAAAAAAAGGAGGTTATCTGGAACTTGGAAGCGACAGTGTCAATACTAAATGCTTATGGAAATTAGCTTGGTCATCAGAAACAGTGACTAGATACTTTAAATACTCTATAGAAATACCTGGTGTAACCCAGCACTTGAGGGTCAGGGAATAATGAATTCAAAGACAGCCTGGGGTATATAGAAATCTTCTAGCTAAAAACAAAACAAACCCCAAAAAAACAAAAATCACAATGAGCAAAGAAACTCTCCAGCCCCAGGTCCCAAGCTGTCTTCCTTGACTGGCTTGGTCTAATTCCCAGCTCAGGATTCTCAAGAACTATTTCTTTCTCACGAGGCTTTTGGAAGCTACCAGCCTTTGCCTTCTGCTCAAATGTATAGAACAGACCATTCTGTCCACTGATCAAGCTGGACCTGCCAATGGCCTGTGCCAGCTGTCCCTGTATGGACAATTTTATCCCTGGTAATGTATGACAGGGCTGCTAAGAAAAATGTAACTGCTGATTCTCGTCTCCAGACAACTTACTTCACAACTGGGTCTTAAGATGCATCCAAAAGGACTTTCTGCAGGACAGGACCCTTTAGGCTATGTGCGACAGGAATCCATGAACCAAAGTTTCCTATTTACTTTTCCAAATCGGGTTAGCGTTTTACTTAATTTCTCTGGCGCTCATCATGGGTGGAGTTGGTGATGTCAACAGCCTATGACTATGTGACTGAAAGATACTGTTACCTGCCCCCTAGATGAACCATCACACAGCAGGGGTTTGGGTGTATACCCCATTAGCCGGCAAGCACAGGATGAAAGCCTGGCTGTGTTTGGTGCTCTGGTCTGGTACCCATCACAATGCTCCACATACAGTAAATGCATTATCAGCAGTTAACTGTTGAGTTAATGAAGATGGTGAGGGGGGAGATACCGGCATCTGACAGGTAGGTCCCATACACAAGACGGACTGCTGACTCTGTCCAGTCCCTCCCATTTTCTTCAGTTCAGCAATGACACTCAGTGGGTAGTTCAGAGAACAACAAAACATCTCAAGGATATAGTCGTGTACATGCAAGTCTGTTAGAGCCACCTTCAAGATGAATCGAACCCCTTTAAGTAATCCATCTCCAAGGCACCACCAGCCCTGGCCCACAATGGGCTGTTTCCATTTTTGCTCCACTATCGCCCCCTAGAGGTTATTCTCTTCACAGTAGCCAGCTCGCTTTTTGCCTTAGCAGAGACCTGGGCTTAACAAGCTCTGGATAAAGTCTGGGGCTGCCATGTAGCTCAGCTGGTGGAGTACCTGCCTAGTTATGTGAGAAGCTCGGATTCTGTTTCCAACAGAACAAAAACTAGGAATGGTGGCCCCTGCTGCTGATTTAGTACTAAGGAGATAGAGGCAGGTGGGTCAGAAATCTAAGGTCATCCTTAGATTCAAGACCATCTTGGGGAAACACGAGATTCAGTCTCAGAAAGGACAATAACAACAACAACCAAAAAAGCCATGATATCTGATATCTTCTCAATCTGGCTCTGTCTCTCAACCCTCCCTCCCCCAACTAGCTCATCCCCCACCCCACCGGTTCACCCCCCCCCCCACTGGTTCACATCCCCCTTCTCCTACTAATCCACTCCCTAGTCCTTCCACCGCGCCCCCCCTTCCCACAAGCTCATGTACCCTCTTCCCCCTCCCTCTGGCTCACTCCCCCTCCCCACTCCCCCTCCTCACTTCCCCTACTAGTTTACTCGAGACAGGATCCTATGAAGCCCAGACTGGCTTCAAATTCACTCTTTATCAGATCCTTCTGCTCCTACCTCCAGAGTGCTGGGATGGCAAGTGTGCATCACCACACCCAGATCCACCATCCCGTTTATGTTTTAGCCTTTCTCTTCATCTATTCTTTCCCTAGCTGCCATGCCTGGGCTGGGGATGCCACAACAGACTCTCGACTACCCTCACTGGAATTCCCTGCACATGGTCCCTATGGGATTTCTTCCTATTTCATTACTTAGGCACTCCATCCCACCAGTGACCATCATCTGAAAATTCTTATATCTCACCGGTACAAGCCCACTGCCTGTTTCTCCAGGCACAAGCCCTAAAACCCCTGAAAGAATATAAGACTCCTTGGATATGACACAGAGCTCAAGCCAGGCCCTCCTGATCCAGATGTAGAGCTCCCCTCCAGCACCACATCTGCCTGCAGGCTGCCATGCTGCCCTCCATGATGATAACGGACTGAACCTCTGAACTGTAAGCCACTCAATTAAATGTTTTCCTTTGTAAGAGGTGTCATGGTCACAGTGTCTCTTCACAGCAGTAGGGACCCTAACTAAGATAATATACTTGTGCATAGTGTTCAAAATAGCCAGAAGGTAGGAACAACCCACATGTCTTTTAACACACGTATGGGATAGATAAACAAAATGTAGTGTATCCACACAAGGAAATATTATTACTTAGCCATACACAGGAACAGAATTCTGACACATGCTACGATGTTGGTCAACACATTACAATAAAATACACCGGTCACAGAACGACGGGCACTGTACGATCCCATGTACATGTGGTGCCATGTACGTGATGCATTTTGAGAGACAGGGAAAAGATCTTAAGTACTAGGGACTGTGAGAAAGGCAATGAAGCAGCTGTTCAGTGGATAGAGAGCTATTTGGGATGCAAAAACAAAAAGTTCAACAGCAGATAGTGGTTATTGCACAGCACCATGGATATATTAAGTACCATTGAACTATGTACATGAAGTCATTATAATGATAAAATAGTTTTAATTTACTACAATTAAAAATAAAAATGGGATGGAGGGATGGATGACATCTTACAGAAAGTGAGAGGAAACACTGCTGAATATAGATGAGACAAAGGCAAAATTTTTATATTCTAGCAGATCTTATTAATAGTTATTTATCAATCTACCATCTATCTATTGTCTATCCTATCTACATACCTATCTATTTATCATCTACCTATTTGCAGTTGATCATTTATTTTATAGTCAGTCTACCTACCACCTACCTGCTTGCCTATCTGTCTGTCTGTCTATTTATCACCCATTCATCCACCCACCCACCCATCCATCCATCCATCCACCCATCCATCCATCCATCCATCCACCTACCCACCCATCCATCTACCCGCCCACCCATCCATCCAGTCTGTGGCAGGACGAAGAGCTGGCTTTTGGTATGTGTTATGGCCTGAGATGATGGTGATGATGGTAACAACACTTTGTTTAACAAAGAAGAGTCCTCTGATGAGCTCGGAGTCTTTGGCCAGGATCTTTCCTCTTTGGGGAGGCAGCTCTGGACTTTGAGGAGCAGTTATTCAAGCCTCTCTAGCCTTCTCTTTCCCATTTCCAATCCCAGTGATTGGGCAAACACAAAGTGTGTGATCCTATGCCAAATAAAGGCCAAATGATTTCAGAATGAAGGTGTGTTGTGCAATGTGCTATTATTTACAGACATGAAGACCAAAGAGCAACTGATTAGCATGGGCACTGAAATAAACCCTTCTACTTTTAGCACATTCACGAAATGATAGCATTTGGTCTGTCTACCGAGAGTGGGTGCTCATTTGGGCAGACAGCTCTCCCCAGTAATGAAATGTTTTCATTTGAAATGTAAATGTTTCTTTCCAGAGGTTTCGGAAATCTAGCTCCAAAGATTAATTTGTTCTTGCCTGCTCCCTCTGCAGCTGGCCCATGCAGTTAGTTAGAAGCCTCTGCATGCAAGACTGCCACTCGCTTCGTGTTTGGTTAAGAAAACTGGCCTGCTCGTTCTTTCTAGAGAAAACTGACCCCTGGCTGCTGAACATAAAAGAGTCTCTATCAAACACGGACTATGTAAAACAAACTTTCTGGCCAGGCTCTTTGCAGGGACCAGTGTATCCACTACCTTAAATCTGGTAGATATTAATGAGCAGAGACTGGCCTACTGTATGTGTAAAATTCCGAGGTTGCCATGGCATTCCTGTAAAATGTTCACTGCTGCCAAGAAGGAAAATAAAAGCCCTCACACCAGCTCCTCGTCTGCAGGTTATTTCTGTTCTGTCGAGGACTCTCTGTTGCTGCGATAAAACACTGACTAAAACCAACTCGGGGGAGGAAAGGGCTTACTTCATCTTAACATCTCTCCAGGTCACAGGCTAATACTTCAGGAAAGCAGGGCAGGAGCTCGGGGCAGGAATCTGGAGGCAGGACCAGAAGCAGTGATGGCTGTTTCCTGGTGGCTTGCTCTCATGTTGCCAAAACCGAGTCATGTGGGAGGCTCTGACACACTGCCAAGTTTGGCCACCAGCTTGAGATGCAGCTGTGGGCCCCTCTGGACCACAGCGTCTATGTGCTGACCCTGGGGAAGTAATCCCTAGGAAGTCTCTCCGGGATATTGGTCTCTGAGGTTAATCACAGTTGATTTCCAGCCCCAGCTAACCAGAATCAATTATTTCAGGAAAGCAAAGGCTCCACTCCGGTGGTGCTGATCTCTTGGATTCTTAATTCAAAATCTCAACCAAATGGCTCAATAGGCTTTGAGGGACTCTCTATCTTCCCAGTGAACTTGGAAAGCCAGACCTCCATCATCTGCCCCTTTCTTCAACACAGTTTTTCTTCCGGGCTCCCATAATAGCTCCGTAAGCTCTGAGCACCCAGTGGCCTTTTCAAGTCCAACGTTCCCAAATTCTTCCACAATTCTCCCCCAAACTTCATGGCCGTGTCCGTCAACCACAATATCACACTCTCTGGTGCTGATTTCTGCCCTAGTTTGGTTTTGGTTGCTGTGCTAATCACCATGACCAAAAGCAACTTGGGGAGGAAAGGGTTTCTTTTGGTTTATACATTCTAGTTTGTCATCAAGAGGAGTCAAAGCAGGCACTGAATAAGAACGCGATGGGGGTGGGGGCTGCCTCCTGTCCCGTTCTCCAGGGCTTGCTCAGCTGGCTTTCTTACATGCACTAAAGGCCACCTGCCCAGGGGTAGCGGGGTGGGCCCGCCCACATCATTATTTAAAAAAAAGTCCTACAGACAAGAGCAACAATGGAGGCAATTCCTCAGTTGGGATTTTCCCTCCTATGGGGATTCCTGTTGGTTTCAAGTTTCAAAAACTAGCATAATCATTCTTGGCAGTAAGCAAATTCGTATTCTTTTATGTTTAAAAACCGCATTACTATTTATTATGTGCATGCATGTGTGTGCCCCAGGGCACATGAGTGGTGGTCAGAGGACAATTTGTGGCAGTCAGTTAGTTCTCTCTACCACGTGGGTCCTAGGAATTGACTCAAGTCATTCAGGGTTAGCCGCGAGTTATCTTCACATGCTGAATCACCTCATCGGCCTTGGCATGTTTGTATTCTTGATCATAGCCCTGGGATAAATTCAGCAGAGACAGTATCCCTGAGACATGAAACCAGAAGCCACATTGAAGTCATGGTGGCCCCTAGGTCTGCAGAATTCCTGGACAAGTTCCCACAGCTGTCTTTGGTTCGCTCCATCTTAGGAAACACTTAGTTCTAGTTACCACCACCAACCACCGGCTCACCTGGACCGAGGTTTCGGAAGGAGAAGCTGCAAGCATGGGTTCATTCCACAAGTCTGCTAGCCTGCTCTGGGTGCAGCGGAGGATGGAGGAGCAAGGAAAAGTCCTGCTTTCTTCAGTAGGCTTGGCTAGAACAGCTACAACGGCCTTGCGTGGTCTTACAATTTGGCTCGGCAGGCTAGAACTGTGGATGTGTGGGGTGGCTCAGCACCTACGCTGTATCTCGAGATGCCTGTGTTTCTCACTCGTTATATGGTCAGATGCAATTGGATCCACTGGCCTTGAATCTAAGTCAGGGAAACCAGGAGCCCATGGGCTGTATTTCACTAGTAAGCACACTGAGAAGCCAAGAATCCGGGAGCACCCAGCTGATGATTTTTCTTAAAAGTAGCAAAGTCTACCCACCCAGGAATCTAAACTTATACTTAATGGTAATAATAATTGTTGCTAAAGGTTGCTCCTCCAGTTAGATGGGGTGTGTTTCCAGTTTTCCTAGGTTCCGTTGCCTCAAATGACTTTGTTCACTGCTTCTGTGGGCATAGGAACCTGTGAGCTGGAACTGTACAAACATCTGTGAGTGGTGAGGTCCTCAACAGTCTGCACAGTGATGGGCTGGGGAAGATGGGGCTAGTCTGAGCCCTTGCCTTCCTGGAGTGCCATGAGGGGAAGTCACCGCTGGCTGGCCCTGTGGGTAGTCTAGCTATGAAGGCTTAACGCTGGTCAAACGAGCCGCACGGTGACCCCTGCTTTCCTGTTCTTCCGCGTTGACTAGGACTCAGGGAGCACACTGGGTGTGGTAAGCAGGGTGTAGCCCATGGACTCGGTGCTTGAGGATCCCAGCGCCCTACTTTATAGTTCATTGCAACAAATCAGGACCTTGGCCCATTGTGATGTGGTGTAGGTCCAGAAAGGTCCAGGCAGAGGTCACATCTTCATGTAGTTCTTGGGGGAGGGAGTTTAATAGCCATACTTTATAAATATGAGTCATTTAGTGTATTTTCTTTAGCAAACTCTGAATAAATGAAATAAGGCTCAGAGGGGGCACAGATGTGTATGAAATATACAGTTTCCCCAAATGATCCAAGTGCAAACTTGGAATAAATTCAACTTAAGAGCCATGCTTGAATTCTACAGAACAGTGGGAGGCTGTGATGATTTATAGTGGAAAATACCATGGGCGTTCCTTTTGGAATGGCTTTGCTCCGTCTTATGGGGAGCTCCTGAAACAGCGGAAGTGTGGGAAAGGGCGGGGCTTACATAGCTCAAGTCAGATTGGAGTTTTCACAAGGGATCCTTTCAGTTTGGTCACATGGATGAACATTAAGGCGCAGGGACCAGGCTGCTTTTGCACTGTGGGTTCTCTAGCGGCCGAGAGGGGTGTTACAAGGTCACTAGAAGATCCAAGGTGTTGGTTGGTTCCCACCAGCTCTGTGTGTAGTGGCAGGAAGGCCATGCTGTGCATCTTACCTGGGGCAGTGTCCCTTTCACCAGTGAAGGGATGTCATCCTTGGAGTAACCAAGGGCAGCAAGACCGTCATCCACATTCAGGTCAAACAGGAATTGTCGGAGGGTATCTGCCAACACAGGCCCGGCATCTTGGGTCCTGGTAGTGCGGATGTCAGCTCCTAGAAGAAAGGTGGAGACCATTGGAAGAGAGGGAGACAACTTCAGTCACAATATCAGCTGAGTACGTAAACTGTACTCAATGCCACCTCCAGACACCAAGGCCCAGGGCACTGCTAGGCTCACCTGTGGTCAGCGGTCAAGCCTACAGATGGCGAGACCAGGCTGAGCCGCCAACGGCTCTTTAAGCTGGCTGGGGCACTCAGTTCTCACAGTTTTGGGGACTTGTGATTTCTCCCTGTCCACCCCATGTGGTGAGGGAGCAGAGTGACAGGGCCAAGAAAGGAGGGTACTGAACAGAGGGCAGGAAAGGTGGCTGGTGCTAGGATGTGGGGGCTGCCACATCTGGTGGGGGTGGAGGGTGGGGGCTGCCACATCTGGTGGGGGGTGGGGGGAAGGGTCGGGCACAGCTTACAGTTTCAGGAGTTGGCATTTACTGACATCTAGAGGTGTACCTGTCTTCTAAGAGCAACACAGAAAACACAAGGTTTTTGGAAACACCTTGAGGCAAGGGTGTTGCCTTAAGCAACCCGAGGCAAATGCCACATGTTAACCACCAAAAAGGAGAAAATACGATAACAGAACTGTGTTACATGCGACTGGGAAAGAAAGCTTTCCTTTTCCTCTTTCTTTCTTTCTTTTTTGTCTATGTTGCCAAAGGATGGGGGATGTTCCTCTTAGTAAATGTCTAAGTGCCAGCCAGGCAGAACAAAGAACGCGAAGACTCTGAGAATCCTGCTTCCTGTGACGATGACGACGTGAAGTAGGTTGCCAAGGTTTGGAGACTTTTTAAGGACAGAAGTTTAATGATTCATAGCACAAACAATATTAGAGATGTCGGTACAGAAGGGGCATGGAGTTCTGTTCTTAGGCAGGGGAGTGTGAACTTCCCAGGGGAAAGGGATTACCCCACCCTGTACTTAGCACCCACCCTGCCGCCCATTTATCTAAGTAGAACGCCTGTGCAGCCCACACGACTAGCATTCTGCAAACGAGGGTAGCATTGGACCATGCGTTAACAAAATGCCCACAAAGGAGAGGCGCCTCCTTCTCCTCCCCCTCCTCCTCCTCCTCGCTGCAGCACACGGTTAGTCAGACCCAAGCCTCTTCCTTCTGTGAGGGTCAGGGCAGCTTTAGTTCCAGAAGTAGGTAAACGGAAGCCGATATGGGGCCAGACGGAGAGCAACAGGATGAAAGGCAAACCAGGCCTGGCAAGATCGTCTGCAATACCCAGCGGTAGCTAAGAGCGGATTAGGTAGAGGTGTGACACGGGATATGGGATTGCGGGTTTATGATCCTGGGATAGCTGCCATTGAACACACCATACAAACGTCCATGCTTTCCTATGAAGCATGTTTTTAGAAAAGAAAAAGATGCTATGAAAGAAAATGGCCTAAGCGGTTAGGAAGAGCTGTTGCGTTCTCCCAGTTTTCTGTAACAGAGGATCTGCTGTGGAACATGCCCTGTAAGTTCACTAAGGTCTCCTCCATTTACAGTAGGTCTCGCCTACAGTTTGGGACACACACTCCCCCTTTAATCTTCACCGTTCTTGTATTTACAAAGGCCACAGCTACACCCCGGCACATTCCCCTCCCTAAAGGAGAAAGGGAGGCAGGCCCTGGTAACAGAAGCCTGGGTTTGGCTCCAAGTCCGGGGTCTCTGACATGACCATTCCCAGCATACACCTGGAGCTGTGGGGCACACAAAGGGCTGGTGTGAGAGGGAGGGCCTGGCAGTAGCCTTGTGGGAGGGTGTCTGCGGTCGCTCCTGCCTCCTTGGGAATAATCTTTCCAACGGCTCAAGCTACAAGGGCATAATGAAGAATGGAGTTTTCATTATAGCCTTTCTTTTCCTACCCACCCTAAACACAAGTAGGGCAAGAAGACATTTTACACGTTGATCAAGTTCTCCAAGTCACTAAAAAAAGAGTTCTTGTTTCAGAAAAATACTAAGATTTCTTTTTTTTTTTTATTTTTAATCCCTACTACAGCTATCCAGAGTATAATTTCATTTCTGCAAGAGTCAAAAGCACAGTGGGCTTCTCACTAGAGAGGTTACATACTTGACAGTATGGCAAATAGGTTGCTCATTTGGAATGGCTTTTATCCCTTGCTCAGCTTCTCTGTGATTGGGAGTTACTGCTGCTTTCTTGACTTATTTTATCAGCAACTCAGCATTACTAAAGAAAGCGATACTTTCTTTAGAGGCAAAAGCAGGGCAAATAGCATCAGGACACAATAGAATCAGTATATTCCGTTCCAGTCCATCACGGATCCTGAGAACCCTAAAATTATGGTATTTAATGCCTGCTGCCCAGAGCTTCAGGCAAGTTGTTAACGTTTCATGACTGAGCTACTCCAAAGAGATAGCTTTTGTTACTGCTCACAGGAAATACTCTGTTGCAGAATATTTGTTTAACTATGTAAAGATGTATTGCATTTGTTTGATTACGTAAAGATGCATTGCTGTTTTTACTTTGCCTGCCTAAGGCACCTGATTGGCCTAATAAAAAGTGAGGGAGGAGGCAGAACTTCTGGGCAGGGAGAGTAAGTAGGAGGAGGGATTTAGGCTTGAAGAAGAAAGAAAGGGGATGACAGGGAGGTAGATGCCAGGAGCCAGCCAGACCTGTAGGAAGCAGGAAAGTAGGACATACAGAATGAAAGAAAGGTAAAAAGCCCCAAGGCAGAACGTAGATGAACAGAAACAGGTTAAATTAAGTTAAAAGTGCTAGTGGGCCATGCCTACGCTAAGGTCGAGCATTCATAATCAATAGTAAGTCTCCGTGACTTTGGTGTCCCCAAGGAAGCACCAACTACAACCCTCCACCTCGGAGGGCCACAGGTTTGTGAGTAATGGGTCATACCTAATATTTCTGCTGTCTCCAGGTGCCGCTCTGGAAACATCTGGGCTGTGAAGGTGAACACAGCTGGAGACGTGAGCACCACGGAGAGGCCATGGGGCTGGGAAGAGATGGACAGAAAAGCCTTCTTCCTTAACACTCTAGATAGAGTACGCAGAACAGTACAGCTCACAGCACGGGCTGGGGTACAGCTCAGTGACACAGTTCTTGACAGTATGCGTCAGGCCCCGAGTTCCATCCCCACCCCCACCCCCACTAAAAATGCACCTAGAGGAATTGTGACAGTTCTAAGATTTAGCTGAGTGACTAGTAAGTGTTTTTACCACCAGAGGGTGATCCACATTGTAGTCCTTGGCTTTATACGTCTTCACTAACCCTGAAATTGGGTAAGACATGCCATGGCTGGAAGAGAGTGGAAATAAAAATCTGTTGACACACAGATGCCAGACATCAATAACACAGACACTGTGCAGGAGCGCCTCTCTTGTCTCTGGACTGTACCGCCACCTCACGGGGTTGCATGAGATGCACCTCTTGGATGCAGAGATGTACTGTGATGCACTCCAAGTTTAGTGTATTCGTTAGCAAAAACCTCTGAAATGGTCTGACTCCAGTGATCAGCGAGTTGCTAGATCCACTAGTGACCCATTCTGCAAACAACTGACAGACTGTTTCAAATGGTGTTTATTAACGGCGCTGGATTAAAAAGGACTGGCCTAGCCTATGAAGCTCAGCTGACCAGTTCTATTTAACTGACTTTCATTTGCCTGCATTTTACCTTTGCAAAGCAGTGTGCACTCCCACAGGCTGGGAGTGAGTGGATTCTGAGTGTTCTGCTCTATTATCCTTTCTTCCTTAAAGACAGGGCTGTGAACCTACAGCTCGGCTGGTAGCGTCAAGCCCCAGAGACTTTGAACCCCATAGTGATGGTCATGGGGAGTTGTGGCCATGCCCAGCTTTAGACTTTTATGTGTGCTGGAATCCAAACTCATTCTCCAGCCCACAGTGGGTTTTGCTTTTGCCAGAAAATAGGAACTTTATAGCCTCTTGAATTTTTAATAAACGACTAGGAAGACATTATGGTTTAATAGATGTTTCAGAATATAAATGTTATAACAGGTTAATATGTATTATTCACAATTAATATTGTAAAAATAAAATGCTCAACAAGAGCAAAGGGGTCTCATTCTTTTAATATAGGCTATTAGGAGATTGCATGCTTACTCAGCAAAAGATTTCATAAGAGGAAGTATTTTGATGAATTACAAGAATACTTATCCAAAAGTTCTCAGGTATCCTGCATGAGATAAATGGGAAAGTCCTGCTTCTCTAAGTGACTGGATAATTTAGAATGCACTTAATTCTCTTGGCATCTGAAAGGTACTGCTTAGTATGCTTCAAGAAGTTCTAGTGTTCATGTGGCTTTCAAAGGCAACTTGATAGCAATATCTAAAATTGCAGTTTTTAATAGTTGTGTACATTCTTTGTACAAAATAAAAATTATTCACATTACCTTTCCTTCTAGCCATTTTATGCATATATTTGTCTTATGATCACATTGAACATTTAGTTTCTAGATGTTTTTTCTTCCCATATTTTTTTTTTACTTAGTGTGTTTTGCCTGTATGTATGTCTATGTACCCCATGCCTGCGGTGCTCATGGAGGCCAGAAGAGAGCATTTGATCATCTAGAACTGGAGTTATAAAAGGCAGTGAACTGCCACACGGCAGGCAGATTTCTGCGAGTTCTGGTTTAAAGAGTGAGTTCCAGGCCAGCCAGGGCTACACAGAGAACCCTGTCTCAGGGTGGGGGTTGGGGGTTGGGGAGTGGCATCTCCATACAATAGACTATTATTTGGGGGTACAAAGAAATGAAGTAGGTTCTAGCAGTGTCTAAATAAACATGGTAGATATAGAGGACCACGCGTGTTCATGTCTGTGACATGCCCCAAATGGGAAATTCCACAGAGATGGAAAGTTGCTCGGTGGTCGCTAGGCAGTGAGGGCGGTGTGGGCATTGGCAGTGAGGGCGGTGTGGGCATTGGCAGTGAGGGCGGTGTGGGCATTGGCAGTGAGGGCGGTGTGGGCATTGGCAGTGAGGGCGGTGTGGGCATTGGCAGTGAGGGCGGTGTGGGCATTGGCAGTGAGGGCGGTGTGGGCATTGGCAGTGAGGGCGGTGTGGGCATTGGCAGTGAGGGCGGTGTGGGCATTGGCAGTGAGGGCGGTGTGGGCATTGGCAGTGAGGGCGGTGTGGGCATTGTTGAGCAGTAGTGGGGTTGTGAGATTGTTTTGTAAATGGGGGAAATAAAATGTTCTAAAACTAACGTCGCAGGACTTTGTGCATAAACTAAAAACCATTGAATTAAATATGTTTCATATGAGCAGACAGTATAGTATATGCATAGCATTTTTTAAAAAGCTGTTATAAGGAAATCCATGAATTCAAATCAAGAAAATATTTGGGAAACCTTAGGTTTCTTCCTTGTATAGCATCGTTAAACTCTGCCACATGCCCTGAATTATATATATTAAAATTTAGGAGCAGTACCTTGAGTTAAGAAAATAAATCGCATGTTCACTTACCACAGATGAACCCCAGCATTTCCAAAGCCGATGCCAGCAAAAGCACTCGCCAAGTGCATACTTGACCTTGCTTCCAGATCATCGGGGTTTCTGACAGCCCTGTGGATTATGTAAACACCAGCATTGGCATCCCCCCACCCCCAATAACGAGCTGCCCTAAGGAAAGGCGGGAAAGGGTGACTGTCCCCCAGCAGGAAGAAAAATTAGGCAGGTTACCCAAACAACTTCTTGTCTTCTCAATGAAAACTGAAGGCAAACATATTTTTCTCATCAGTGGTTTCATCGAGGGCATAATAAATACACTGTCAGACGCTCAACTGATAGAAAGCTACCAGGGACACAATGTCCTGGCCCGCCTCTGTGAACAGCCTCCTTGTTACCCCAGGCTCCCTGCAGGCCAAGCCAGCCTAGACATCTTTCTCTCTGTGACATTGATCGAGATTGGACCGTATGCTTTTGCTGTTTCAGGGGTCTATTCCCATTCGCTCTTGCATAAATAATGGCTGTAAAGATGCATCCTTACATATTTGTATTCCGCAAAAGATGTAAAGATCAGTCAACTTTTACAATATTTAAATTTTCGTTTTTAGACGTGAGGTCTTGTTGTATTGGCCAGGCTATCTCAAATTCCCATGCTTGAGTGACCCTCTGCCTCAGGCTCCCAGCAGCCGGGACTCCAGATGTCGCTGCTACACCCAGTTTGTCCTGTGCTCTTAAATCTTAAAAGCTCCCGGGGATCCCTTTTCGCCTTCCGTCTTTTCTGTCTCCTGAGTGGCTACATTTTTTTTGTTTTTCTTTCTTGACTTTAGTTCACTCGAGTTTTCTCAGTGGGTGACTCCTGCGTGCCCTTGGGGTGGAGATGATGCAGTCAACATATGCCTGTGTGGGCCTCAATCCTGCTCGGTCTCAAAAACCTTTCCCCTTCCTTGCTGTAGCTCTTATTTGGAAAGTCTGGCTTGGTCGCCCTGGCTGGTTTACTATTCACTATGTAGCACAGACTGGCCTCATCCTGTATCAGGCTCCTCTGAGTTCTGGGGTTACAGGTGTGCACCACTATGTTTGGCTAGCCTGGGGGCTTTGGTAAGCACCCCCCTTTTTAAATCTGTTTACATATTAGATGCTTCAGTTATCCCCGAAACTGTTGCCTTTCGGGACTGGCAGCTCCGGGTTTCACCTGCCTGTCCTCAGGCCCCTTCAGAGGCCTAGTGATGGCCCTGGTGAGCAGGGGACACCGTGTCTTCTCGCTGTGTCAGCACCAGGCATCTCTTTCTACTCAGGGTGACCTACCTCTGCAGGTACTTGGCAACAATCCGCAGTGCGTGGACTGCCCAGATGTCGCTGATTGGGTTGCTGCCCTGGTAGGCTGGGCGCTGGATGGGGTTGGAAGGGCAGGGGCTCCGCATGTTATAGGGAATGGCTGTGTACGACTCCAGAGCATGGCTGAAGAGAAATGTTTAAAATGCACGGAATGAGCATTGCCTTCCGCCTCACCCTTCATCTCTCACAAAGCTTATTATTATAACTACATTTCATTTTTTTTTTTTGTTTTGGTTTTTCAATACAGGGTTTCTCTGTGTAGCCCTGGCTATCCTGGAACTCACTCTGTAGACCAGGCTGGCCTCACAACTCAACTGCCTGCCTCTGCCTCCTGAGTGCTGGGATTAAAGGCATGTGCCACCACTGCCTGGTCGTGAGTTTGAGGTCGGCCTGGTCTACATAGAGAGTTCCAGGTCAGTCAGGGCTGTATAGAGAGACCTTACCTCAAAATTAAAAACGAAAAAGAAAAAATTCTGATTTCAAGCACACAAAAAATGTAGCAAAATGTTCTCGGAGCAGCGGACGAACCACGGTGGTTTGAGACTGGCCGAGAGTAAAAAACCTGGGGTGCTCCCCGAGGAGCCTGGCAATGATGGCCTAGCTCAGGGACAGGCTCTGCAGTGGATACACAGACGGGATCTTGGTACATCACAGCCAAAACCACAGGGGCTGACTGTGAGCCTGGGCACGTTACCAAATCCCGAGAGCCCAGTCTCCCTTTCCATCCGTGAATGTCACAGTGCAGTGTTTCCGAGGGGTGATGTTCCTGAGAACATGCATAATGGTCCAGCCCCCTTTACTGATCCTCCCTGGTTTGCGTGGCCATAGAGCCAGGTGTAGTCCAGAGGTGTTTCATGTCATCTTAAACTGACCCTTTCTCTGTGGCCCTAAGTCACAGATGTTGTCTAGGGTGGGGTGGCCTGTCTGAGGTAGGCTTTTGGGCTCTAACTTGACTGCATCCAGTCATCAACGTTTCTATCTAGGAGAGGGGACAATGACAGCCAGCATGAGGGGTGTGATGTAGTGCTAATCAGGTAAGTCTTATCACTGACTGTATACTGCTCCTTGGATGACAAAATACTGTTCACAGACAAGTCCGGAAAGCCCCTCCAGGTGACACCGGTACCTACCAAAGGACATCAAAGCCACTGTTGGCAACCACCCGACAAGGCATGTGGAGAGTATGCAGTGGATCAACCAGGCCCAGCGTGGGTTTGATGGCTCGTGAAGCAATGCCTAGGACATAAGGAGTTTTAGTATATTAAAGGTGTGGCACTATTATAAAAGTAACCTTAGGACAAAAAAGTTAAAGACAAACCTATGAGGAAAGGTTCATTTCCATGTAGCGATGCACAGAGCAGCATAAAGGGGTCTGAGACCAGAGTCTGTGCTTTCAGTGGTGGCCTGCCCGCTGACTTCCCGCATCCCAGGGACAGCCCCTGCCCTTCTTTCAGCCGCCGGGAGGAGGGACCCTGCGGGCCCCGGTGACGGTGCTTATTACTACACAGAAACTAACAAGAGCTCCAAACCCGGGTTTATTTCTTATTCAGTCTGCGATGTTGTTCACTAGCATGTCACTGGCCATTGTTCTCCATCTAGCTATGTGACGCTGGACAAGTCACTTAACCATTTGGAGTTATCCTACCATTAGGCCTTACACAGATGTACGCACACATGCACGTGCGCATGCACTCGCTCTCTCTCTCTCTCTCTCTCTCTCTCACACACACACACACACAAACAACACTTGAAGCTGCAAGAATACGATTAGATAATATGTATATGAGCATTTAAAAACCTGAAGGCTGAATTTAAATGTTGCTTGTTTTTGTTAACGATGCCAAGGGCCATGGGATTTAGTTAAAATGAAGAAGTTATTTGAAAATGTGCAGTTGAACGTCAGCTTAGTTTGCTATAAAGGCCAGGAGAAGTATATTGAGCCTAACTCAAGGAGAGGGCCATTTCTACCACAGCAGTCAGGGGTCATGGGGTAACCCCCAATTGACCAAGTAGATGGAAAACAGAACAGACGTGAACTGGAGATGGGTGTAGGGCTGGCTGGGAAGAAATGCGAGGCAACTTTGTGGCGTTATGGGCATGTCTAAAATCTGCTGCTAGCTGCTGCTAGAATATCTTGAAAAGTGTGTGTCTTATTGTATAAAATCATGTTTTGATAAATTAATTTAAAATGTTAAAAAAATATCAAAGGGAGGGAACACCCATTTATCCTTGCTCTAACCACTGATATGGGCAGGACAATGGCCTATTGAAACTCACGGCATTTGAGGTTAGGGAGATGGCTCAGTGGCTAAGAGCAATTATTGCCCTTAGGTCAAGGGGCTCACTACTGACTGTAACCCCAGCTCCGGGGCTCTGACATTTCCACAGCGATGGAGTACATTTACACATGCACATAAATAAGGATGTGTATGAAAAGAGGTTTGTGGCGTTTTGATAGACTTTTCCGGTAATTCTCAACAAGAAGTGTGAGGCCCATTTTCATATATGCTTGGGAAGGGAAAATGTGTGTCTGAGTTCCCTTGATTCCTTGATTTCTAAATGACAGTCTCAAAGACAAGGGGATGATGTAGAAAGGTGTGTGTGAGAGAGAGAATTACAAGAGAATTATGAATAAAATTCTTACCAGTTTTTACTTTCATATGTTCATAGTCAAAAATGGCAACCCCTGTGGTCTCACTGCCGGTCCCTGAGGTAGTTGGAACTTGAACAAAATAATATTAGTGTTAGAAGGGATCTGAACAGAGGTCAGTGGAGACATTTAATTCTACCTCAGCAATAAGGAGCAAAGATAGAAAGCAATCATCACGGACCTCGCTGTTTGTCTGACATCTGTGTAACATATATGCTGAGGAGTCATGTGAGGTCCATGCTTGCATTAATACCCCTGTGTGTTCTCTTCAGCATGTTATGTGTGTGGCTATGCATGTATGCAATCTGTATCTGTGCTAGCACATATATGTTTAACATACATTATGATGTTTGAATGTATATGCATGTTTAATATATATCATATCTGTATTAACATGTGTTCTACTTAACATTTACATGGCATCTACATCTGCTAACATAATATACATGGCTTCATAAACATGTATGTGGGGTTAACATGAATGTATGTTTATTATGCATGCTATCTGTATATGTAGAAATGTGTTTTGTGAATTTATATTAAACATATGATAAGTTAACATACATGTATGGTTAACATGCATGTTTATTGAACACACATGCAGTCTGTATCTGTGTAAAAGGTTTTATACATATGTAGTCTGTGTCTGTACTAACATGCAACTGTGTTGAATGGATGATCATATCTGTCAGTACTAACATGTATATGTTAATCATATCTGTGTGGGAAGTCTGCACCATATTAACAGTGATGGGCTCTGAGAAGCTTGGTTCTCTAGAGTCAGAGATCAATTTGTCCAGCACCTCTGGTAGGAACGCTAGCACATCCTGCCTCTAAAAGACATCTTTATTCCCTCTTGGCAATAGGCACAGGAACGAGCTGCTTTTGCTGGGCCCTGTGGTTTTGTAGTTCTGTCAAGTTTCTAAACTTTACTAATCACCTCTCTGTGTGACGCCGACACAGCTTCACCAGTGGGTTCCATTTGCCAGACTCCAATTATGCTGCTCCCTGCTGAGTGGGCATTCATGTCACAGCCGTTCATCTGACACTGACTCCCTCAAGTCCCTACCAGGGTTGTTTACAGCAGGGGCAGAAAAGGGGTGAGCAAGGTGAAAGTTAAACGGAATGCTGTCTCTATTCCTAGTCAGTGTATTTAAACAACAGAGCTTCTGTGAGCAGAGTGCCAATGGCTGTAAAATGAGAGGGAAGAAAAGAGAAAATCCCGAGGCCCCCGTGGAAGGTTCCGGCTATTTTTGGAGTGGAGCTGAGCACTGGGAACACGCACACGCTGGCCACATGTCCCAGGGAAGTCACAAAGCTCCAGGTCAGCTGCAGAGCCATTATGTGCAAGAAAGGGTCGAGTCGCTGAGAGAAAACAATTATTCTCCCCAAGCTCCATGGTGTCTGGGAGAGGAGGCAAAGCAGATGGGTCTGGGGACAAGGCTGTCAACAGAGGGACCCACCAAATGTCAAGGAGGACCCTTCCTCCCCCGTGCAGTGACATCATGGCCTACAATTACAAGGTTGCTCCCACTGACCTAAATTGTCTATTTGTGCTGCTCTGCTTTGTTCTCTAGTGCACTGATTTGAAATGAACAAAGCAGAGGTTCTGGGAATGGAGACTTTGAAATTAATAGTTAGCATAGTAACCAAGGCTCTCCCTCCCTCCCTCCCTTCTTCCCTCCTCCCCTCTTTCTCTCCCTCCCTGCCAGTTGTAAAAGAAAGCAAATGAGCAGCGTTTACCTGCTATCAGAGGTTTCAGAGGCACAGTCACTGGCTTCCCCTTCCCAATGGGGGCATTGACATAATCAAGGAACTCAGAGTGAGGGCTGGATGCATACAGATTAGCGGCTTTACAGGTGTCCATGGTGGAACCCCCACCCACAGCCACATAGGCGTCAAAGGCTCCCTTTTTGGCAAATTCAATCGCATCCATGAAGCTTAGAGAACAGAAAACAAAAATGCATTATGATATATATCTAGATAGATAGATAGGTAGATAGAGATAGATAGATAGATAGATAGACAGATAGATAGATATTTGTTAAGTAAGGCCTGGGACAGATTTTCCACAGCAGCCATTTTTGTTGGCTTCTGCTTAAGTAACTACGCCACACACTAGGACCTTACCTTTCGTCCGTGGGCTCCACTCTCACGCTGTCATAAACCTGAAAGCTGATGCCATTTTTCACTAGGGAATCCATGACTGTGTGCACAGGAGGGAGCAGGGAGAGGTTCTTGTCTGTCATCAAGCAAACCTTCTTAGCGCCCATATTCTGTAGATCCTGTAATAAAAATGAACTCATACGTTAGGCTTGAGTACACTAGCACTGTGCTAGATACGTTGGGAGGGTTTAATGTGATCTTTAAGAGCAAAGAATTCAATTACTGTCCATTAGTGCTCCTGTTTCCAAGACAGAGGCTACAGACATCTCAAATACTTGCCATGCCCACTTCCTTTGTAACTCCTGCTCCATATCTAATATTTGAAACAGCCATCTGAAAAAAGAAAGGAGATTTAGGTGTGTTAGAGTTGGCCAACGTGTTACGGAAAACCAGAATGGCTCCTCATTGTTTAGAGAATAAATGATCCACTCTTTAGCGTGGTCCCCAGCTTTCTCACATTCTGGCACCCGGCTTCTTTAAGCAAACCTCGACTCCAGTCCCACTGAAACTGTGTAGTGTCTTTTCCCAAACACACAATAAATTCCCACTTCTTCCTTCAGCTTCAAATGTCTGTCTCCCCTGACCCTCCCAGCAAAACTAACTCTCTATTTTCTTCTTTCCAACCGAAACTTCTGTTCTGCAGGGCTTTGCCCCTTCATTTAGCCACGTAGCCTCCCACCCGCCAACCCCACCGAGGGGCGCTCTGTTGAAGGCCTTCTGCTGGACTCTAACTAAAACAAGACCTGTGGGCTTCGGAGTTGGCATACAAAAGAAGAGCTTTCATACTAATGTACACAGGCCACTTTTCAGTTAGACAAATCAACCACTGTTTTCGGGGTGTTAATGGCTCACACCTTTAATCCCAGCACTTGGGAGGCAGAGGCAGGAGGATCTCTGTGAGTGTGAAGCCAGCCTGGTCTACAGAGCGAGTGCCCTGTCTCAAAAAATAAACAAACAAACAAACAAACAAACAAAACCAACAACAAAAACATGGTTTGTTTGATTCACGATAAAAGATAAAATTCAGATTTCTTTCTTTTTTTTTTTTTTTAAAGTTAATGACTCTTTGAAACAGAGATTTAAACAATCTAAAAGGGTCACCCATATCTCTTTTTCACTCTTAATTGATCTAGAAACCACCACACATTTTTCAAGCGTCAGCGATCAGATATGGTTTGGGCTGTCAGAGGGCACCTAATGACCTGTAATAATCATTACAGGAGGGGCCGGGAGTTGAATAAGCAATTGAAGTAATTATGTAGTTATATGGCAAAGTGCAGCACAATAAGCTGCCCTTTCTCTCTTCTTCCAGAAGATGGCTTTTCTTAAATAAGGCCCAAGGCAAATTTCAGAGACTCAATATATAACACAGAGACTTTGGAGAGTCTGTAGAACTGGGAGTTCGCCGTATTTTAATAGCTATATGAAAGGCAGCAGCGCTTTAAACATTACCCCTGTTCCCACTGTCTTCAAATGCACATTGCTGCACAGCGCCTGATCGGATTGAGACTGTAGGACACCAGTTAACAACAGATCTCAAATGAATCAGTAACGAATCAGCAAATAAATACTGCAGTGTTTCTCAGGCCACCCATAAAAGAAAGAATGAATTGATGAAATCTACCTCAAACGCATAATCTGTTGTTTTTCCAGAAGGCGAGAGTCCAGGGGCTGGAAGTGCAGAGAGGAGCATCAGAAACACATCATAAAACACGCCTAAATCATTGTTCTTAATAGAACATAAATATCTTCCTGAAATGTTACCTTTTCTAGCATTTCATGGTTGCACATAAACTGTAGATCAATGTATAAAGCTGATTGCAATATTGGGGCAATAGGGGGCCATCAGTGAGTTTCATATTTTAATATTTAACAATATTTCACATTGTTGCTGTGTGCCCCATGTTCATGCAGACTCTGGGGATCTATCTAACACTAGTCAAGCGTCCTCACTTGCTGAGCCATCTCCCTGAGCTCTTACCTTCCCTTTTATTCTACTTATCTATAATCAGCATAAGATAAAGGGAAGTCAACAGAATAATTTGTACTGCCCATTTTTTTTCCCCCCGTTAAAGAAAAAGACACCAAAACTAGACAAAGCCACCATCACTACGTTGTTCCCTGAGGGCAAAGGCACCATCTAATCAAAATCCACACGCATCTGATTCCTCTAAGACTTCTAGTGTTGCTGCTTCTGCTGCTAAAGTTTAGGTCAAACACTAAGTTGGAGTTCTCGATAAGCCATTTTCCCCAAGCAGGAAAAAAAAAAAAAAAAAAAAAAAAAAATTAGCACAACAGTCGAATACAAAATCCTGCCTGTGGTTAGAGGGAGGAAGTGCTCACAAAGCAGGAAAGCGCCTTGGTCGCTGAGCCCCCTTTAACTCCTCACCAGGCCTGCTGTGCGCTCTGTTAGGAGCTAGCTTCGGCTAACCTCCCCTCCCTTTCTGTATATAGCTCACCTCCTTCCAAGAAGAGACTCTATAATTCATGTGACACCCTGGGGACAGGCTTCAGGGAATTTTATGGACCACGGAGTCTGACAAGGACTAAGGTGGTGGCAGCTGAAAACTTTTGTTTCTACTTTTAATTATTAAGGGATGGATTATTTAAAACATGGATTAAAACAAGGTTTTCCCTTCTAGCAATCACCTTACTTTAGCTTTCACGGTTGTCTTTGAACCCAAAGCCTTGTTCCCGAAGAGCCTAAACATTCTTAAAATATCCCAAGTGTGTTTTCAGTTTTGAAAAAATAATTGTATTTTAAACGGAAAGCCTAGCATGAGATGTCACGCACTCAGCTAACCTGGCACCCTTGGAGCCCTGTGTCACCAGTTTGGCCGTGAGAGCCACTGCTGTTTACATAATCTTCCCTCCCACAGGCCTTGATTTCCCCTTTCCACACCTGACCCGAATGTACCGCACAGGCTAGTGGGCGGAAAGCAAACCGAAGCTGATGTAAAAACTCAAAATGCATTACCTTGGGAGTAAGTATGAGAATGTGTTGGGCACTGGCATCTAGGGAAAAGGCAAAAGAAAAATATAAATAGAAACAGGAAGACAAAAAGCAAGAAACCTTAAAGTAACTCTTACACTACATCCTAATCCCGGGACTAACTAACCGGGGTCACTCTGGCAGAGTAAAGAACAGAAAGCAATAGAAACTCCAGATTCACCATCACACCAACGACAAAACCTCGGTCTTGTCAACGCCGAGGCAACACTTTTCATGAGGGCATTTATTGAAGTGATACCTAGGCACGGCCAGCTTTGACTAAACCACGTGGCTCTTCTCACTCTGCTAGCTTTCAACCCTGGGAACTTTCTATGTAATTCTCTCTCCTCTTCAAGGGATTTAGTTTAGTTTATCTTCAAACTGGCTCTGCACTTGAGCTTCCAGAAGCTTTTAGCCCCCTGGCTTCCCGGGTCAGCTATTCGTGTCTTTCTACCGCAGCCCCAGGCTCTGTGAGCTGGTCCTGTCTCTACACACACACACTTGGCACCTTCTCCTTCCTGAAGCCTGGTCGCCCTTGCACTTGCCACGTTCTCTTTTCTGGAGACTTCCTTCCCTGCCACACCCGCTATTTCTTGAACAGTTCCTCCTTCTGGCTTCAATTGCTCCTATTTGTTTGTTTTTTTATGGCTCACAGGACCTTGCCATAGCGGGATGTCGGCAAATACCTGACAGCATAGCGTGCTCCCCACCGCGCCAAAATTCAAATCTGGAATTGGAACACCCAAGGAGGGAAAAGGGCGGTTACCCGAGTGGGTATCAGGATCTCAGACCTTCCCCAGGTCAAGACACAAATACAAAGCAAGGCTGCCACCTAGTGGCCACCTGCTTCCTGCAGGGACAGGAAAGGTGGCCAGGCCCAACTGACCTAGCTCTTTCCAGAACTTGCCCCGAATTAAACTTTCTAAGGACAAGACAAGAGAAGCAAAGGGAAGACAGACATCTGAAATATAATGCCGGGGACATGGCTGCCCCTTCCCACTATTTGTGTTAAAGTTCTAAGACTAATTGTTTCACTTGTAACCCTTAGGGGAGGTTCCCGTTTTGTCCTCTCTTGCCTTCTGAGGATGCTCACCCGTGTTGATTTCCCTCCTCCTGTCCTGTCCTGTCCAGTCCCATCCCCAGGCCTACATTTGCAAACTGTTTCCTTTCTCAGCACTCTCCCTGGTCCCTGAAATCAAGTCAGAGCTTCCAGGGGAACCTTTACTTCATTCCTGAGCCTTTCACACAGGAGCCTGAGCCTGGCAGCCTTAAGTGGGACGGGTCACTTGTCCTTAGTAGGCCAATTAAGGAGTCGACAAAGTCAAAAGCAGAGAGAGATTTATTCAATGAGGTTGAACGGGGAAGGGGTCTCCAGTGAAGCCCCTCCTGTCCCCATCCATCATCCAGGGTCCTGATAATGATGTCTAGGTTTAAACGGGGGCGTGGCTCATCTTAAGTGACACAGCTCTCCCAGAGGACCCCGTGGGCAGGCAGTAGTTTCTTTTCCGGAGGACCGGGACAGCCACTTCTGCTCCTTCCTCGTTCTGCCCACCACACACACACACACACACACACACACACACACACACACACACACACACACTCTCTCTCTCTCTCTCTCTCACACACACTCTCACACACTCACACACACGCACTCACACTCTCTCACACACTCTCACACACACACACTCTCACACACTCACACACATACACTCACACACGCACACACACATACGCACTCACTCTCTCTCACACACACACTCTCACACACACACACGCACACACACTCTCTCTCTCACACGCACTCACACTCTCTCACACACACTCTCACACACACGCACTCACACTCTCTCACACACACTCACACACATACACTCACACTCACACACAACACACTCACACACACACGCACTCACACAACACACTCACACACACATACGCACTCACTCTCTCACACACACTCTCACACACACTCACACTCTCTCACACACTCACACTCTCTCACACACTCACACTCACACGCACTCACTCTCTCACACTCACACACTCTCACACTCACTCTCTCACACACTCACACTCACGCACACACTCACACGCACATACACACACTCAAACGCATACACACTCACACACACTCACTCACACTCACACACACTCACACACTCATACACTCTCTCACACACTCACACGCACACTCATACATTCACACACACCCCCCCCCACACACAGTTGGCTGCCTTCAGCCATCTGACCCTTCTTTCTCCCTTAAGCTTTATGTCTCACAAACCAAGGCCCCAGGTATTTCTCCACTTTCGGCTCAGCTTTTGCCATGGTGTGCGTGCACCGTCATTTCTCACTCAGATGCTTCCTACTTTCCAAACTGGCTTCTCGCTGCACCTTTGTTAGCTCTATTCCCAGTGGGGCGGGGGCGGGGGCGGGGGCGGGGTTCCCAATGACCTCACCCCTTCAAAGCTGCTTCCATGGCAAGTAAGGTGCAGACCCAGCCCAGCCCACTTCTTCATCTTTGGGTTTTCGCCCCTGGAAAATTAACCATCTCCCCTTCCTCCTCACCTCCCTCCCTCATCATGAACTTTGCCCTAGTGATTTCCCTGCTTGGAATCCACCTTCCTTTTGTTCCTGACCCTTTCCTTCCAGATTAGCCTGTTCTTTCCTGTCTGTTCTCAGGCAGTCTTCTGAGGCCCCGGGAGGAAGCCTTTCTTTGCGACCTCAGGGACTGCACTGGGCAGAAGGCTGAGAGCTGGAGAGCACTGGCTGCTCTTCCAGAGGACTTGGGTTCGATTCCCAGCACCCACAAGGTGGCTCACCACCTTCTGCAACTTCAGTGCTAGGGAATCAAATGGCCTCTTTTATCCTCTCCAGGAACAGGACTCACGCACTCACACTCACGCACGCACTCAGGCAAGACAGCCATGTGCCTAACAAACTGCTTCTAAACTCACTCCACACTTACTTTTCCACGCCAGTTCCCACGGCAGAGTGTGCTGACTTAACTGTGCTCACCCCATATCCCCTCCCATGTGGGTGTCCCAAACACAATCTGGGTGACATTGGTTCTAATGGCGATGGCGGGTTTTTGTTTAAGTATGAACGCACAGGTTTAACACAGAATGATCCTCTCGAGGGACGACTCAAAGCACTTCACACACTCACACAGACATCAACACAGAGAGCAGCTCCGCACATTTACTTGGCCATGGAATTATCACCTGGAGAAGTGAGGCATGTGGCTTTCGTAGCTTTCTGTTATTCATAGAGTGCAATTTTACAATTTTACTGTAGGCTAGGGGACAAGGATTGCAAAGCCAAAGTTCAACAAATGGCTGTGTCACTGTTCAGCTGTGTGACACCGAACACGTTCTTTTTGTGGTTTTCTTATGCTAGAGGATAATGCCAGAGTTACCATAAAGATTATTTACTGCTACCAATACTACATGTGCAGCGGATACATGCCAGCTAGTACACACCAGCCGTGTTCCTACTCACGACTCAGTCCTTACTGCCTTCTAAGAAGGCGGGCCCAGACTGTACACTTCTGGGCCCTGGAACTACAACCCTCCTTCTCTGGTGTGGCTCTCTCCCCTCTGCCGGAATTCCTCTCCAGTCCCTGCCCTTTCCCTACCCCCACTCACCAGCTCAGACTTCTGGCTCCCAAGCTGACTCTAGCACTTACACATTCACTTAGGGCTCAGCCTTTCTGGAAGGAACCAGGTGAGGGAGGGTAACTGCAACTCATCTGCTGGAGTAAGCCACAGGTGTGTCCCGGTACTAGATCCCTAGGTGGCCTGTGACTTCATTACTGTATTCTCAGAAACGAGCTGTCTCGGCACACAGACCCAGTATTTATGTGAGGCTTTGATGTTAAGTGTCTTAGGGGCAATGCCAAGTTCTAAGCTGCCGTCATGCTGGGTGGGACCAGGCCGGCTTCTCTGGGAACATTTTTCTTAATGCAAGCCATACCACACTGCACCATCCTGTCCTCCCACGGTTTCAGGCCCCGCACAGCTCAACTGTGATGCTGTCAGGGTCTGCCTGCCTGCCTGTGTGCTGCAGTCAGGGTTGCCACTGTGGCGAGCTCGGTGCAGCCTGTACTCACGCTGTGCTTTGCAGGTGCCTCAGCAAGTGTGCAACTCGAGCGCGTGCAGCTGCGGCCATGGCAGTTTTCTCCGTGTCCCCTGGCCGCTCCACCCCCACTGCCAGCCAATCCTGGCGGCTGGACACGAGGAGGAAAACATCAGCTTCCAACTCGCCCAGCAAAGTCACCTGATCCAACTTTAGCCCACTTCCCGGGAGTCAGAAATGGCATCTGGCCCAGCTGGCAACTCTGAAAACGCAAGGACCCCATAGGGGTTGTGTAGACTTAAACCAGGGCTGTGTTTCACTAGGAAACTAAACCCGAGCAATCAAAAACGCCCAAAGCAAGTCTTTGAAAGTTCTCTGTGAACGGTCTTGGGACCCCCAGTGCCTCATCTGCCACGCCCCAAGGGGAGAATTCACTAAAGTCCAATGCGTCATTAGATCATCCAAACAATCGAGTATTTTCACTATTATGAAACAACCCGAGCTTTCCGTGCATCTCCTGAAAGCAACCTTACCGGTGAAATGAATGCTAAGCATGTACCCAACTCCAACCCCCCAAGCTGCTATCAACCGACAAACGAAAGAGCAGGGTGGCCACCGGCTTTACAGAAAACAGCCCTCCCTCAATCCTGGATTTGCTGCTAATAAGTTTTAGGAGGCACTTATGCAAAGATAACTTTATTAGGATAAAAATAAGACATTGACAAAGGGAAAACACCCAGGGCAGCAATAAACATGAACTCTCTGGCTGGTGTAGCAGCTCACTTCTAATCTCAGACTTGGGAGACAGCTACAAGGCCTCAAGTTCCAGGTCAGCACAGGCTCCATAGTGAATTCCAGGCCAGCATGGCTAAAAACTGAAACCCAAGCCAGCTAAACAAAAAACACCGATAAAAAAAAAAAAAAAATGGCAAGTATCTAGAATAACAAGGTTAGTTACCAGTTGGTGTGGCTCCAATTTATCATTTGAAGCAACGTGTTCATTTGGCAAAACACACCACCTTAATAAACATCATTTTCACTAAAGAACTTTCGAGTTCCCTTAATACAAACAGCCTTCCTGTAAGCCACTGTGTAGCCACGTTGTGTATTTTCAAGGACACTCTATCTATATTGGCATCTAGGTCGCTGGCTTCATACACAACGTGTACAGACAATGAAATTTAAAAGCAACACCAGTTACTGGCATACTTTTATTAAGTAACCTGTACAACCCCTGTAAAACACAGGGAGACTTGGGTTTTCTCCCTGCTTTGATAAATATACAAGCTTTGTTAGAAAACAACAACAAAAAAATTGTTGAAACCCATCTACCATACCCCAGAAATCTGACCCACGGTCGAGATGAGAAAGCAAGCTGTTAGCTTCCCTCCCTGGTCTGACCACACCATTTCTCTAATGGTCACGTTCTCCTACACACCCTTAACTTCCGGCCAGTGTCTCCGTTGCGGGAAGAGTATTATTAACTCGTGGTCCAGCACTGACTCTCCCGAGGGGAGGCGAACCTGTCCCTTCAATCCCAAGTTCAGCGAGGGCAGCGGCCTGCACTGGGCACAACTTAACCCTTAGCACAGCCGGCGGTAGCTTGGCCGAACAGGTCCGGCGGGGAGAATACTACTTCCTCCTCTTGCCACCTTGGTGCGGACCCCCCTTCTTGGCACCCCCGCCGGGAGGCCTGGGATGCTTCCTGCCCGCCAAGCCTCCTTTCCTCCGCTCTCCCTGGCCGGGCGGCCCGCCCTTTCTCTTGCTCGCAGGCCCGGGCCGGCCCCCCTTCCTCTTCTTGCCCTTCTGGCCCAGTTTCCTCCTCTTGGCGGCCTCCTCTTGCTCCTCCTCCCTCATCTGCTTGTTGGTGGCCCGTGTCACGTCCAGCGGAGGCTTCTTGCTGCTCATGGCTCGAAGCAGCTCCAACTGGTTCTTCTTCTCGGCTGCAAAGTCCCCAAAGAGGGGCTGGAACTTCCTCTTCTTGCCGGCGCCCCGGGGCGCCTTCTCCCTGGGGAGGCGCTCCTGGAAGCGCCCCGCCGACGCGGTGGAGACCCTGGCCACCTGCATGGCGCGGCCCAGCTCCTCCTTCCTCTGGTGCCCCGTGGGGTGCAGGCCGGCCGTGCTGGGCACCTGGACCTTGTGCGCCCGGGCCAGGTTCCGCAGCCGGTTCAGCTCGTTCTTGGCCACGCGTTCCTTCTTGGCCTGAAGCCGCTTGGCGAACTGGTCTTCCATGGGGTCGGCGCCGCCGGGCACCTCGATCAGCCAGTCCTTGGTGTCGTCCCGGGCGCGCTCGTAACCCCAGCGGCGGCGCCACTGGCCGCTCGGCTCGTCCCACACCAGGTTGCTCTTCTTCCTGGGGCGGATGCCCTTGAGGCGCGCGAACTGCTGCCAGCGGGTGAGCGGCCGCGGCCGGGGCAGCGGCTTCTCGCGGGGCAGGCGAGTGGCGGGCTCGGGCAGGCGCGCCACCACCGCCTCCTGCACGCGCTCGCTCGGCAGCTGCCACAGCCGGTTGACGAGCAGCTGCGCGTTGTCGCGCGCCAGGGCCCGCAGCTCGGCCTCGGGCGACGGCCCGGCCTGGCGCAGCACCGTCGGGGGGTTGCGGTCCGAAGCCAGCAGGTTGCCCAGGTCGAACTCGAGCTCCAGCTCCTTGTGCACCGTGATGCGCTGCAGCTTCTCCGCCTCCTCCTGCTCCGCCCTGGCCAGCAGCTCCTCCACGCTCTGGCCCGCCATGGCCGCCGCGGCTCCCACCCGCAAGCCGGCGACCGCGTGTGGACGTCCCGGGTCGAAATCCGGAAGACGGGCGTTCGCTTCCGGGTAACCCGGAAGCGGAGCGGCTCGCCGGTGGCAGGCTCCGGGGAAAGGCCGGCAGAGGGCAGCGTTGGAGAGCGGATGGGCTTACAGGCGGACCCGGCCTCGCAGCCGGAAGTGAGCGGGGGTGGGTGGGGAGATGGCCGCAGGAAGACGGACTAGCTAGCTCTGGGCCCGGCTGGACTACGTTTCCCAGAATGCTGCGGGGCAGGGGCGGCCGCGGTGGGTAGGACGCGGGCTGCTCAAACTCCTGGGGCTGCCGGCGGGCGTGGTGGCTTCCGAGGGAGCTTGCTTAACACTGCGTGTAGAGCTAGTGCGAAGGTGTTTGGCTAATCGGCTCTTCCTAGAGGGGGCGATCCCCTCCCCCAGGTATAGAAGACTGTTTGCTTTGCGACGTAGGGCTGGCAGTTGGGCTGTGTGAGGCGGTGCCAGCGCCGCGGACCCCAGCTGGCTGAGGACTTGCATTCCTGTCTGGGCAGAGCGCTGAACTCTGCAGGCTGCAGAGCCCTGGGCTCCGATTCTGGTTGGTTGTACCACTGTTTGATCCTGGGGTATTTATTTAGGCCTGAAACATCATGAAAGATGGAGTCTGTTCATCGTTCTTCGTATTCAGGACGAGTTTAAAGGAAAATGTGTTGATGTGCTTTAAAGGCTTACAGTCGGTGAAAACCAATCAGTTTTTATTCAGTAGCCATGGCGGCTTGGGGAGTTGAGGCGGTATTATAGCCTCTCTCAGGTTATTACTGTTTCCTGCCATCGACTTTGTTAGGCTATTTTACCTCCGTCCTGCTCATACTCTGGTGAATATGAAACCTAAGTAGTAACTGGTGCACAGGAAGGACTCAATAAATGAGATCTACTGTTGTTCCACTAAATCTAGCCCAGGCAAACGTTTTTGCATATGACAGAGTTCTGGTTACTTTTGGTCTTGTATGCCTGTCATCTGGGCTTCAAGTCACTGTGAAAAATCCTGTCAGAATGGTCCTCAGATTTGTCTCTAACCCCACGCTTTCCATTTTAGCTGTCTCCAGAGCTTCAGGGATTTTCCTCAAGAAAGGCAAAATGAGATGCAGGGCAGAAAAAGCTGCTGTTAGTATTCAGGCATCTGTCAGGGTACGCCCTCAGCTGCAAGCCACTAAGAGCACCACCTGTGCACATTCACTAAGTTCCATCTCCCTCCCTCTCCGCTCTTTCCTTCTCTGCCTGTCTCCCTGGCCCTCCTCCCATCCCTCTCTCTTCCCTTTCCTTCCCTCCCCTCCCGCCTGTCCCCTCCCCTCCTCTCTTCTGCTGCTCCTGTCCCCAGAGGTCACCTCCTCACTTTTCCTATTCACTTTCCCCCAGTAAAACAAAACAAAACAAAACAAAACAACAACAACAACAAAAAAAAAACCAAAACAAAAACCCTCCACCCAAGCCCTGTCAAATGGTGTCTTTCTCTCATGCGCTGCTTTTAAAAATTACAGCAGCTGCCAGCCATTGGAGTTTTGTGACAGCTTTGTGAAATTTCTCAGGAACAGATGTAAAGAGAGGTTTTCTGGGTTTTGTTCCAACCTCACCCCAAAGAGGGACAAGAGGGTTGAAGGCCTCACGATCTCTCGATGTGTGGTTTGTCAGTAAACTAGTTCTTAACACAGTTTCATCCATCTTTAGTATCATATTAACTTAGATTTACTTCCTACTTAAAATATTAAATTAAGTAACTGGTTTATTTGTTGGGTATATGGGCATGTGTACGCTATTGGCCATACATGGAGGTCAGAGGTCAGTTTGCTTTGGGTGCTGGGAATTGAACTCAGGTTGTGAGGTTTGGCAGCAAGTGTCTTTGTCCAGTGAGCCATCTTGTTGGCCCTCGATTCTCAATCTGATCACTTGTTTCTCTTTGATGGTGGGAATTATTAAGGATGATCCAGCTGGTTTTTAATTGTTTTTTTTTCCTCTCTGATTATTTTTGTTCAAGAAATCCAGTATACCAGCTAATTTGATAAAATATTAGCTAAGGAATCTTAAACAACTTAAATGATTTCCAGATGGTTCAGTTTTACTGATTCATAATTTTATGTTGGAAGTACTCCAATGAAGAATTTTTGAAATTATTTTTATACATCCTGTGTGATGTATAAACTATGCATGTGAGAGTATATCTGTCTCTCTGTGTGTGTGCCTGCATGTGGGGCATGTGTGTGTACATGTCTATGTGTATGATCACTGCCTCGGGAGGACACTGGGTTTCTTGTTCTGTGGGTCTCTACCTCATTCCCCTGAGACAGTATCTCTCCCTGAACCTGGATCCAGGTGGTGACAGCAAACTCCCAAGACCCTCCTATGCATGCTTCCTACAGCTCTGAGACCACAGACATAAACAGCCACCCTGACCTTTAGGTCTGTTCTGAGTATTTGGATTCTGGTCTTCATGCTTGTACAGCAAATGCTCTTACCTATACGTTGTCTCTCTAGCCCTACTTTAGAAAAATTTCTTCATCATATACAAATTTTTTTTTTTTTAGTTTTAGTCAGAAATCTATACTAAAATCCATTATTTTAAAAAGAAACCAAGAAAGCATATAGTAGATGTTCTGTAGTTTGTGGAGAAGCAGTTAGACTGTCTACCAAACACCACCTTTGTCTACAAGGAACTTTGGGTTTTAACAACAAAACAGTCAACTTGTTTTGCTGTCTGGAGAGGCTTAATATTCTTTGTTTTCTGAAAACTGATCAATGAAGCTTTTCTGCAGTTGCCATAATCTTATTGCCATCTATAAGATGATTTTTTTTTTAATTTAGAAAACATCATATCCCAAGAGAATGAGATTTGTGTTAGCTTTGAGATGTTAATTTTAGAAGGAGGTTAATTCATAGATGAGAGATTGAGAGATTCATGTATAAAGAAAAGCTGTAGTTCTAGAATTTTAGAGGTATTTGTACTCGGTGCATCCAGTAAGATAGAAAGTTTAGGCCTACTTACTAAGTAATTATTTTTAATTACATTTAAATTTATGAAAACAAGATTGCAATGAGCAAGAAATCCTAACTGGTTATGGGAGTGTATACTTATAGTCTGTGCATGCAGGAACATTCTGGATTGAGGCCAGTAGCTGTCTCTAACTAAATAAACAAATAGTGTGTGTGTGTGTGTGTGTGTGTGTGTGTGTGTGTGAGTGTGTGTGAACATGAGTGGGGATCTTTACTTTTTTGAAGTGTAGATTCACTTAAGACCTAGCAATTGGGTCCTCAGTAACTTTGTCTTAAGTTTTCGTTATAGTCGTAGGCCCTGTGTGAGTATGTATTAATCTTGGCAGTGGAAGTTTCAACCAGGCAAAGTGTTCTTCTAAATGTTCTGTGCTAGCAACATTAAAAAAAAATGGCGTGGAAGCTATGGTGATATCTCAAACAGTAGCTGTTGGCTCCTGCTAACAGTGGTTTGTTTCTAACGATGAACTCATTATTTTGTAGCCTACCGTGAACGGTGAAAGCAATAAGAATGCTAATGGGAGACAGACAGCAAGGACAAGAAACTCCTAGTGGCAAGTAGGTGTCACTGTGTCCTTGGACATCTGAGCATATGCAGCCTCCCGGGCTCTGGGTGCCTCAGAGCTACAGAAGAGCCCCCATGGCTTGCATGTGTAAACAAAGACCCTGCCGCTTCCCAGACTTGACTTCCTTTGTCTCATTATCTAGCATATGTGGGTTAGGGATGGACAAGCTGAGTTAGGGATGCTTCTGGTTTCCTTTGGAATTTCAGCAGGCTCTACCTTATTCATTTGGAAAATGAAGGGTTTAACTAGGCAGGTTTTACAGCTCACTTCCGTGACTTTTTCCTCTTGCTGCAGTCCTGTATCCCTTAGGTGTTCCAATATTACTTTTTTCATAAAGCACTTTCGTCTCTGGATGTCCTGCCCCCGGTCATGAATAGACTTTTCTATGTGCGACGACGGTGATTCTCACTCACAACACTCATCTCAAGGGTGTTCCCAGCTGATGGCTTCTGGCACTGATACGGGCAGAGAAAGTCCCGTCCTCCTTGGGAGGTTGGCTACCGGGAATCTGAGCCTGTTCCACAACTATATGGACAGTACAAAATGGACTTTTTTTTTGAAGGGGGGAGGTCATAGGGGAAAAGGGATGGATATGGGCCAACTGGGAGATGGGTGTGATCAGGGTGCATGATGTAAGATTCCCAAATAATCAATAAAATAATTAAGAAGAAAAGGTAGCACGCCTTTCATCCCAGCACTTGGAACGCAGAGGCAGGTGGATCTCAGTGAGGCCAGCCTGGTCTACAAGGGCGAGATCCAGGACAGGCAAGGCTGTCACCAGAGAAACCCATCTCAAAAACCAAATAGTGCTTTCCAGATAATCTTTACCGCTGGCTCGAAGGCGGGGAAACTTTGCTCTTTTAATGAACAGTCCCTTTAGCTGATGGCATGTTCTCTGTTGGACAGTGGTGTCACTAAAAAGCTTTAAGATGACAGAAATTAATTGCAAATATCAGGACAGTGTTCTCAGTTTTGGCAAAGATAGCTAGAGATGAATGGCTCCTATCTGAGCAATGACTGATGTTCAGAGCAAAACGTTACAATAATAAACATAATCTAAGGTGAAATCTAGTGGCTCATCCTTAGGCAGACTTAAAACACAAAGGCATAGAAATGCTAGTTTAAGAGAGTATTAATTTCAGGAAATACAGAGAAGCCTAAAAAGAAAAGTATACATGCAAAAAACATGACCATTGTAGCAGAGAAGACATAATTCTAAATACATACAAACATCTACATATATGTACATACACTCATATATACACATAGACATATCCAAAATCCAAAAAATTGGTGAAATTAAATTGAACATGTAAAAGCTTTATTAAAAAAAAAACAATGGAAGGAAAATGCATTTTTTAAAAAAGAGCATTAACTAGGTAATAAGATGCAAAACAAAGTTACA